GCTCATAATTCAAATATCTTTTATGAACTGCGAAAGCAGTTCCGGGGGTTGGTGAGCGCCAGCGAGCAGGGGGCGAAGCCTCCTAGTAGTAAGAGATTCCTGAAATCACCACTCTGAGGATGCTTTCAAGCTGAATCTCGTTTTTAAAAAGAGGCTTCTTCTGATCTCGAAGTTCAAATTTCCAGAATCCGCGAATCTAATTTTGGTGCGGGGATTTCAAATCTGAAATTAGTTTTGCTTCTAAATCTACATTTTTTCAATGGCATATTCAGTTTAATTTTTGTCGAAGTGTAAAATTTTAAAAATTTCGCATGAATGTTATATTAAATAATCGTCGTTGAACAGCCAACCAGATTTTGGGTTTAGGACTACTAATGTTCAAGTCCGCGACCTTGTAATTTTGAACCCAATTCAGAAGAAAAAGGAACTTTTGAGTCAAGTATTGGGAGAAATTTACCTTCGAGAAAGAATTTTTGATGAAACTAACCCGCATTTGCGTTACATGGAGAGAAAAACCATGAAAACCTCCCATGGTTAGGCTGACAACAAAGGGACTCTTAATATATGAACCGTTTACCACTTGGGATATTTTACGTCAGCACTGTGCTTGGTGCGTGCCGGGGGCGGATTCGAACCCGATTCATCTCATTGGAAGACGAACGCTCCCCCCTGAACCACCACGGCTCATGATGGCGAACCACGTCAGGCATCCAAGTGGTGGTTAACGAAATAACTTAAAATTAAACGTACTAAACCAGAATCATAATTAGAAAAAACAATAGTTTTTTTTTTACTTCGGGAGAAAAAAAGCTGCCAACAAGTAAGTTGGCAGCTCATTGAAAGTAAAACAATACTTATTTAATAAAATATACTTAAATATTTGATTAGTATAAATTACGATTAAATAAACTAAAGAAAACTTATTAGAGCAAGGAGGGGGCAAAAGAGCTGGAAACTAACTTACATGCAAAGGTGACATTAACAAAACAACAAAAAAAAAGAATTAACTCCAAAGCAAAGTTATAACTGAGTTACAAGAAAACATTTTAAAGACAGACATTATTTCTTAATTTCAATTTTGCGGACAAAAAAATATGACTTGCCTTCTCCAAGTTACAGACATACGAACAAACAAACAAAATATTTGAAGTTATTTTATTATCAAAAATACCAGTCAAAGCGAAATGGAGTTCCAAATAGCCAATAAACAAAATACCAAAACCACAAATTTGTTGTCAACAAGCATAAGATTCTGTCAAAGAAATTTTTTAATTAGTTTGTCAAATCCAGTTGTAAATTTTATTTGTCGACATTTGTCATCTTCTGTATTGCGTCTATTTAATGCGATGTTTTTTAGGGCATTAAAAAAGAGAAATAATTATTTTCAATTGGCTGAATCCGTCGTCATTAATGTAGGCCGATCTTCTAACATTGAGCACATGTCCAAAGGAACAAATGTAGGAAATTAGAATTTAATAGGCACTCTTCATGTGTGAGGTCATGGGCCATTCACACCTCCTCCCTTTTCTCTGAATCCTACTATTAATTTGGAACATTTATCGCCAACATTGGCGCCTAATATGAAATATAGATATTAAATAACGAATGTCTTTCATCTTTTTTCTTATCGTTTATTTTAAAAGAAACATGCATCTGCGGACCAGTTAATTTAATCATAACCATGAAATTCTAGTTCGTAATTAAATTTTTATTAAAAATTTATTAATATTAATTAAACTTTTAATTAAATTAAATTTTTATTAAAAATTTATTAAAATTAACTAAACTTTTATTAGATTAAATTTTTATTAAATTTTTATTTAATTAATTAATTAAATTTAATTAAATCTTTATTAAATTAATTAATTAAATTTAATAAAAAAAATTTATGAAAATAAATGACTAAATAGTAAATTTTATTGAAAATAAAAAATTTATAAGTTAAATGTTAAGATAGACCAGTTAGTTTATACAAATAAAATAATGCTTACCCATTTACTATCGATTGGGATTACTGCTACAATATTATTTATAAATTATAATTATTTTATTATAAAAATGAGGTCCCGGAGTTTACTGATCGTAAAGACACAGTTCCCAGTAGTCACTGGCTGCGATCAGTAAGGGGGTGGGTGACCACTTTGATAAGCCTACGTAGGGACCGAGGGTGAACGGTATAGGTCCTTGTTAAACTGTTCTATACCGTAAAGTGCTCACAGGTCATCGGGTTACCAAAGCGGTGGAGCCATTCCCTCTGCCGGCCGAGGATCAAAATTGTGATGGCATGTCTTCGGATCATCCTCGGGGATGTTTCCCAGACCGTCGCCAGTAGCCCAATGTGCAACTCTAGTGCGACGTAAATAAAATACCTTCCTACCTAAAAATGAGATGATATTTATTATTGAGATAATTTCTTATAAATGATAAAATTTTCTAAGATTTGTCAATTTATGCATAAGTCGGAATTAAATTTTTCCTAATATTTGAATATTTTTA